AGAATTATTTCAATAGAGCAAAGCCATTTATTCTACAAGTAATAAGGATTAGAATGCAAATGTCCTGGAATATTTCAAGGAATGCATTAAAAATGATACTGTGTGATGACAATGGCTATCAGATCTTCTCTGAAAATGACATTAGACTTCCACATCAGAGCAGCCTGGGTCTGTCATCTCTCTCTCAATTTCCACCTGACTCATGTTAGACAATCTGGACCTGATCTGAAGAGAATGAATGACAGAGGAGCAGAAGGAGTCCAGCCAGGCCTTTCTAGACTTTTCTCTAGAAAAACGCCTGGCCTATCACCATCCTTCTTCTAGGATTTATATTCAGAGGGTAGGAGGGAGAAAAATCATAGGAAATGCTCTGAATCAGCTTCCATTAGCATACACAAAATGCCCAAAATAGACATATAACCTCTATTTTTCATCAGCAGCTATATGAAATCAGACTTTCAGAAGATGTCTATGAGAAATATAAAAAATGGACTTAGCTTAATGTTGGAGCACCACTCATATGGAACCATTGTAATGTAGATGTCAAACAGATAAAATGACACTAAGGAAACTATAGAGACATTGACATCAAATATTGTAATTTTTCTATATAATAAGGTAACTGTTGACCCTCTCTTCTAAGAATATTCTAGAGGTGTGGTACATCCTTAGAAACCATTGTGTCTCAGACAGGTCTCTATAGTATGTTAGTCAATTTTTGGTCACTGTAACAAAACACTTAAGAAGAAACAATTTAAAGAGAAGGAAAGATTTATTTGGACTCACAGTTCCAGAGCTGTCCAGTCTGTGGTTGGCCAGAGTCACTGCTTTAGGCTGCAGTGAGACAAAAACAGCATGACAGATGGGCAAGGCTGCCAGGCATGGTGGTACATGCCTGTGATCTCAGCTCTGGGGAGCTGAGGCAAGAGGAGCACCATGAGTTCAAGGCAAGCCTGTACTGGAAAACAAGTTTGAGGCCAGCCTGAACTGCATAGTAAAACCCTATTGCTTTTTTTTTTTTTTTTTTTTTTTTTTTTTTTTTTCAGTATCGGGGATTGAACTCAGGACACTGCTTGCCAGGCAAGCCCTTATTCTACTGTTATCTCCCCGGCCCCTGTAAGACCCTATCTCAAAAAGACCAAAAAACAAAAACAAACCAAGAAGAGGGGCAAGGCAGAGGAAGACTGCTGACCTTGTCACAGCCAAAAAGCAGAAAGAGAACAGAAAGGGAGAGAGCAAGTAGCCAGGTACAGACATGGTCCCAAAGTCTTGCCCTCTTGCTCACTTCACTCCAACAAGGCCCCCTATCCCGTTTTTATCCATCAGTAAAGCCAGAGACCTCACAGTCCAATCCCTTTTGAGAGACCCATGAATACCCAACCGTTTAACCCACCAAGTTTGGGGTGCAGCACAGTATCCCAGCAATAGCATGTGCTCTCAGCATTGAGATTTTTTTTTATAAAGCCATGGCAGTACTAGGTAACAGTTGGAATCTCAATTGTGTTAACTTAGCAAATTAGTATGAATTACTCTGCTGCTGCCAAGCTTTCTTTTTTTTTTTTTTTTTTTTTTGGTAGGGTTGATCTTGTTTTCTTTCTTTTTTATTATAGTAATTAGTACATATTAATTATGCACATAGATGTTACATTATGACTTTTCCATATATGTATACAACATGCTTTGGTCATATTCAGCCTGCCTATTGCCTGCTTCCCCCTCTCCTTCCTGACTGTCTTCCCCCTCCCTTCCCCATCTCTAACAGTCATTTCTTATGTTTAAGCTGGCCCAGGAAATCTCAAATCCACTGGACAGAAAGTTGATAGAGCCTGCTTTGGGCGGCTAAAAAAATACAGAAAGACCAGCTAATTTTGATCTTCTGACCATGGTGATTACTTACTTTTAAAATATTTTACTGACAAACAAAAATGCACATACTCAAAATGCATAATATGATAACATATGTATATATTCTCTAATAATTACCACAATATAATTAACACATTCATCACCACCCATAGTCAACAAAGTGTGTATGTGTGTGTGTGTGTGTGTGTGTGCATGTATGCATGTGTGTGTGTGTGCACAAGGGACTAAAATCTTCTCTCATCAACTTTCAAGTATATAATATATTAGGACTAATCGTAGTCATCATGCTGTGCATTACACCCCTAGAACTTATTTTGTTATAACTGAAGATTTGCACCCTCTGACTGATATCCCCCCATTCCTTCCACTTCTCCACTCCTGGAAATCACTGTCCTCTTGGTATTTATGAATTAGATTTTCCTACCTTATACACACAAGTGAGATCAAATGATATCTGTCTATGTCTGCCACATTTTTATTTGCATATGGTTCTTCAGTTTGAACCACATTGTCACAAATGGTAGGATTTCCTTCTTTTGAAGAGATGAATAATATGTTTTAGGGAGGAAACCTCATTTTCTCCATCCATTCATCTGAGGATCACCCGAGTTGCTCCCATCACTAAGCTTTTATGAATAACTCTGCTATGAATATCAGTGTGCAGATGTCCCTTTGAGCTTCAATTCTTTGGGGCAAAGACTTAGAGATGCAGTTGGCAGTTCTGTAGCAGCTGCATCATTCTCTTTGCCACCCACAGTGCAGAAAGGTTCTACTTTATCCGCACCCTCACCCATGCGTTATTTTCTGTTTTGTTTGTAATAACCATCTTAATGGGTATGAATTAATGTTGCATTGTGGTTTTCATTACATTTCCCAAATGATCAGTTATATGCATGGCATCATGCATTTATTGTCCATTAACATATCCACCATAATAAATATCTGTTTTGTCTTTTGCCTTAAATATGAATTTCAAATAAACAATGAATTGTGTTGGTTTATAGATCTCACGTAATATTCAGAATGTATGTGTATTAAGAACAATATCTTGTTTAGCTGAAACTCAATTTTAACTGGGCATTTTGTGCTTTTATTTGATAAATCCAACAACATCAGAAAGTGAGAACTGTGATGGTTCTATAACAATCTTTAAATATTTCACAACTGTTCCAAGGTGAGGCTTGAAAGACTTTAGTGTATTTTTGTGGGTGTTTAGCTGGTAGCCGTGCTTTATTACAAAATTGTAATTTCATTTTGAGATCTTGCAGACTAAATCATTTGAGCTTCACACTCTTTGTGTAACATTATTGGACTCCTTTAATGAAATTATAACTCAAGCAAGATATTTCATTCTCTTGTAGTAAATTAACTAGGGCTGGGAGAGTTCAGGGAAAGCAAATCCTTTCCCAGGTTTATTCTTCTTGTTTGGTAGAACGAAGAAGTAGTAGGCATTTTATATTTGGGTTATTTATTGTTCTCTTTGTGTGAACATCATATTGTTGCCTGTCCCTGTTGGAAACAACAGCTGTTAACAGGCTGCTGAGTGAATTTCAATGTGAACTCCATTGGCCTCTGGAAAGCTTGCTAAAGAGAAAACTCAGCCTCAGAAGAAAAAGAGCTGGTTTCAGGCTCGGTCTGGATGCCTGAAGGCCAAGCATATATAAAACCACTAGCAAGCATTTGCATGAGAGATCACACTTAGAACAAGGTATGCAGGGCCAAAATATAAACAGTCAAAGCAACTAAGCTATCGGTGGTCAATGCCCTCAGCAACCTGACCAACAGAGCCAGGTGAGGCAGCACGTAGCTTTAATCCCAGCACTCTCTGGAGGTTTAGGCAGAAAGATCACAAGTTTGAACCCAGCCTGGGCAACTTAGCAATTTAGCAAGACCCTGTCTCAAAATTTCAAAAAAAGGAAAAATAAGAAGGCTGGAACTGTAGCTCACTGTGAAGGCCCTGAGTTCAATTCCCAGTACCACAAAAACAAATAAACCAAAAAGTCAGGAATATAAGTGGTCATTCTACTGTGAATCTGTACTACACTAAATAGGTAGCAGCACTACTCCCATGTACAGTCTTTTAGTAAATGTGCCCGGGATTCACACTGAAACACAGAGAATCATGCAGACTTGACGAGGATCACTGTGAAGCTGGGAGTGCTGGAACAGAGGGGGCTTCACGTCCAGTGCCTCTTGGAGGTTCTTTGTCTGGGAGAGAAGTTCCATGTGGACAAAGACTTCCAACTCCTGCCATTTAGTGTTATCACAAAAATCTCTAACGTATGGAGCTTTACATTTGGCTTGCTTCTTTAGTCTTATTTCCCCCTCCCAATAGTTCCTGCAACTATCTCTCTGGTTAATGAGAAATTGTTGAGGCCATGGAAGAAAACATTTTCTTGGTCACAGGAGGCATTTCCCACTTTGGCCCATTTTCCCAGCTCTGCAGCACTCAGTAACCAGTGCCCAAGAGACTGCCAGGCTCACCTTAGCTTCTCTGGTGAACAGGGCTACGGTCAAAGGGCAGACCAAGGAACACACCCACAGTGTCAGTTACACTTGCCCATTTCCAAGAGACACTAAACAGGCCCTGTGAACTGATGGCCTTCCTCCCTTCTCTCCTCTCTTCTGCCCGCTCAAACAGGGGGTGCTACCATTTCAATAAGCCCCCTTTGTCTTCCATGCATTTCAAGCCCATGAAGAAAATTCTCCAACAAGAAGGACAAAAGTTTTGTCTTTATTTTCACAATGCTCTATTAATTATGGGTTTACTTGTGTTGGTCTATGACATGACCTTCATATGGCAGCTTGGGCCCACCCACCTGGTAGGCAGATGTATGGTTGCTACCCTGAAGACAATTACATGGACTTTGGGGGGCATGGAAGCAGAGCAGGAAAGATGCCAACACTAACAGAAGAAAGATGGAAATCATAAAGCTTAAAATTGAATGGAGAGGAATTTGATAAAATGCTGTCAGAAATTCAATAAAAGACTGAGCTAGAATGAAGTATCTGAAAGCAAAGTGACCTTTTCACCTCCCTTGTCCAACTCCTCAGTAATAAGAACATATGAGAGCATTGAGTTCTGTTGAAACTCGATGTCAAAAGCCCATTTCCTGTTCTTCTTTTCTTTCCAGACAAAGTCAGCATACTGTCAACCTTCCTCGCTCCTTTCAAGTATCTAAGTCCTGGCACCACAAACACGGAGGATGAAGACAATCTAAGTAAGCAGCTCCCTTTCCCAAAGTATGGAGAGGTCCCCACTAGATATGGGAGGTACCATAGTCCCAAAGGTTGGGACCATGGGAGCTAGTGGAAGGCCCGTATGCTCTCCACTGAAGCAGAAAATCCCAGGAAATCCATTCCCTGCAGCTCTTTCTTACCTCAAGCACAACCTCACTCACAGACCCACATTCACCTGACACCCTGTGCTTACTGGGGCACTATCGTCACCTGAAATACCACCTCTGCCCAAGTGCCACCCTCTCTTGAAGTCCTATACTTACACCAAACCCAGAGTCCCGTCCTCATCTGGAACCCCACCTCCACTTTCAGTTCCTTCTTTACTTAGAATCCGCCCTCATCTGTAGTTCCATCTTCATCTGGACGGCCAGCCCCACCTGCAGTCCATCCTCAACTGGAGTCCCACCTTCACCTACAGTCCTGTTTGTACCCAGAATCCATTCTACCTTTACCTGCAGTCCCTCCCTTCCCTGGAATCCCATCCTCAGTCACAGCTCTACTTTTACCTAAAGTCTTTACCTGCAGGTCCTCTCTCAACTAGAATCTCATCCACAGTTGAAGCCCTTATAATTTACCAGTAATCTCACCCCCACCTGGATTCTAGTCTCACCTTCAGTGTCATACCTTCACCTGGAACTTCATCCTCACCTGAAATTCCATCCTCTGATGGGGTCCCATCCTTATCCAAAACACAGGAAAACATTACTAATGTCCATGTGACCAAGATCTCTGGGGATTAGGGGAAATGAACCAGATGTCTTACACCATCCACTCCTCTTTCCTTGAGTTTTTCTCTTCAAATAAAAACATAAAGTAAAAAAAGAAAAGTGATTGTAGTGTCTTATAGTATTTAATAAAGAAAGAGCTGGACTGGAGTTTCCCTTTCAGAATAGTTCTAGCATTTGAAAATGGAGTGAAGTGAAAGGAACATCATCAAGATACCTGATTTTAGGGTCAGGGAGATAGCTAATTAGAGTAAGTGCTTGCCAGGCAAGTACAGGGTCCTGAGTTCAATCCCTGGTACCAAAAAAAAAAAAAGAAAGAAAGAAAAAGATACCTGATTTTAAATAAAACTGGCTTAAGAAAGGAATCTGAGCAGTCACTTATGTTTTGATCAATAAAGAAAGCTCAGAGTGGGCACTCTGGGTGAATGAGAGAGAGAGAAAGAGGGACAGAGAGAGACAGAGACAGAGAGACAGAGACAGAGACAGAGAGACAGAGACAGACAGAGAGACAGAGACAGAGATAGGGGGTGAGAAATGGGGGGTAGAGACAGAAACAGAGAGACCAAGAGAATCCTGAGACTATTTGCCTTGCACTATAGTCTTCTTTTCTTGTGGCATACTGTCAAGCATGTAAAAGGGGAAGGGAAAACATTCCTAAAGACCATATGAACACCACTTTGCATTTTAATATCACCTAACAGATGGATTCCCCTTTCAACGAAAATGAACTAAGAATATGCTTATTGTCATGGGATGAGGAGGAAAAAAGGTATTTATTGAAGGTTGCTAACACTGATGATGTTGTTGGGTGAACCAAAATAAATGATACCTGATTTTAAATAAAGTTGGCTTAAGAAAGGAATCTGAGCAATCACTTATGTTTTGATCAATAAAGAGAGCTCAGGGTGGGCACTCTTGGTGCATCACGAGAGAGAGAGGTGGAGAGAGAGAGACAGACAGAGAGAGACAGACAAAGAGAAACAGAGACACAGAGAGAAAGAGAGAGACAGAGACAGGCAGAGACAAAATATCAACATGGACAACACTTCTCAAGACAATATGATTTTATTAATAGTACTGAAAACTGAGGTTATTTCTCTAGATTGCTTTACCAAAGCCAAGTAAGTTATAGAGCCATTAACAATCAGAACAAGAGAAAACATAACAATCCTTTGCTTGGGTCCCTTTATTTTCTAGGGGAATGAAGTAGAGGAGTGGCAAACAGGAGGAGTCCACTGGAACCAGACAGGGTTTTGGTTGGTTGGTCTGTTAGTTTTTGGCAGTGCTAGTAGTGGAACCTAAAGCTTTGTACCTTCTAGGCGAGTGCTTTACCACTGAGGAACATCCTCAAAACAAAGGCTCTTGACTCTGACTTCAGGGCTTCTTCCTCGGCAAGGTTTGAGGGTTAGTAAAACCTTGACAAATGATCACCTCTATTTTTCCATGATCTAAATAAGAAAATTTCCCCTACCAGTCAGGTAATTGATAGTTACTTCAGAAACTTCAAGGAGAGAGAGTAATTAAGCACGTACCAAATGTGTGACCTGTACCAGATTGACATGTGGGCAAAGCTGTGAGGAAAGACACATGGAAAGAACTCAACCCCGCTTCCCTTTCCCACCTGGAGCTGCGGAACTCCTGGCCAAATCACCTCTCTCTCAGGAGGAAAAGAAATATAGGAGTTAGAAAGACCTAGAGACCTCAGGAGGAATAAAACAAAGTATTTTTCCACTAGCTACCTGTCTGTAACTCACAGAGACTTGAATGTATGAGGAATGTGCTGCTTACATGTGTGGAGCCACCACTCTGTCCCAAAGGGCTCGAGAGTCACACTTCTGGAGGGACCTTCTGTGCCTTGCTGTAGGGCAGCATGTGGTCTGGTGCAGGTCTCTAAACCCTTGTGTGGGACCACGGTGCTCCCGGTGCCCTCTTACCTCTGGATCATCTGGTCACCAAACTTCACCACAAAACAACCCCGAAGAGCATCCTGCCTAACTTATAAGACTGAGTTCTGTTGAGGAAAGGCCAGGACCTAGCCAGGGAGTGAGGAAAGGCCAGGACCTCGAATAAAAAAGCTCCACTGAGGCTGGCTAATACATGGACATAATTTAAGCTGGTTTTCCCTAATTTGGTTAACTGGTTAATGGGTAGTAACTTACAGATAAAAATAACTTTTTGTTGTTTATTATGTGCTAAAATACTTTGAAATGTTTGTGAATCTTCATTTTCCATTAATAGATTAATTTTACCCCCTTTGAATAGATACTATAAATTTCCTCAGAAAACTCTACTTTCTTAGATTGTTCCAGAACAAACCTCCAAGCTATTTGGGACCTGTTAGATAGTTTCCCCCAAGTATTGCTAATGAAATCAGACAAATGGGCTACCAGATGCCACTAGAAAGTAAGAGAAGAGTCATGTATGTGTGCGTGCATGTGTGTTTGTGTGTGTGTTTGTATGTATGTTTGATGGGTATGTATAATAAAAGCTCAGTATATATGTCTGTGGTATGTGTTTAATGAGTATGTGTGTATGTTTGTGATGTATATTTATATATGTATAAATATATATAAATGTGTGATGTGTGCTACTGTGTATATGTGGAGTTGTGTACTGTGGATATGCACATGCATAGGTATATGGTATACATAGTATGAGTACATTAGATATGTGGAAGGATGCATGTTTGTGGCATATGTATAGCTTGTGTCATAAGCATATTTGTGTATGTGTGATAGTATGTGAATATATGATGTGTCATCTCTGCAAATGTATAGTGTGTATGCGCATGTATAGTGTGTGGTATCTGTGCATGTGTGGTGTGCTGCATGTGTGGCACCTGTGTAGATGTGGTACACACGTGTTGCATGTGTGCATATGCATACATGTATGTGTGGGAGAGAGAGCAGGTGCAGACATTGCACACAAGCCTGTGCTGCAGTCCCATCCCCCACACTTCTGCATGCCGCAGAGTTGGGGTGCCTGGGCTGCAGTAACACGGGGGCAGCTCCTTTCCAGCTCATGGACTGCGCCGTGTAGGAGCTGCCCATGATTCCCTATGGCTGCCTGATCCCCAACCTGGTACACATCACTGCTTTTGCCTAGAGCCGTGAGAGCCTTGGCTTAAAGGACCTGAGCTGAGTGTCAGAAAGACGTGACCAAGATACTCACACGCTACACACACACACACAACCCTCTACCTGAGAGAAGACAGAATCACAGAGGCACCTTGCAAGCTGTGCTTGGGCTCTGAGACACTGACACAATACCATAATTTTAAGACTCGCCTGCGTTCAGCCTTTAGCTCTGAAAATTTCTCCTTCTGGCACCGAAAAGCGATGAGTTTGTCTGTCCTTGCCTCCACCCCCTACTCATCCCAACCCTGCTAACTACTGACCAGATGTTTGAACTTAACCAGATCCCAGGAAGAGTGGGCTTTTAGGTTGCGAAGCTCACCCTTGTGCTTCCGGGGCTCTGGTAGAAGAAGCCTCCTGCCTGCCGTTTCCGCTGTTCCTGAGCTCCGCACACACAGCCAGCCCTCATGGGGTTACACACATCAAGCACTGTCACAGCAGCATTTACCAGGGCTCCGCTTCCTCCTACGAGCCCCAGCCCAAGGCCTCCTGCCCTGCAACATAGCAAAGGAGCTTCCTTCTGATGCTCTGCGCACCGCATACTCTTCCTCCTGTGTGAAAGGAAGAGGCAGGCCCCTGCCACTCTCTACCACTAGACCCTGCCTTACAGAGGAAGGCTTGATCTTTTTCAAAAACTGAGACTGATTGGCAGCAGAATAACTTTCCCCAAGCATAATATTATCTTTTCAAATGTAGCATGGCACATTGGATGGCTGGTTCTCCAGAGCCCTCGTGACCACAGACATGGCAGTGTTCATTATTAGTGACGCCAACCCGGGAGCAGAAGCACGGTGTGCATAATGACCAGGCAGAGGACACCAGCCCTCGTGGGAGCTGGCAGAGGAAAGAGTGGCACATGGATAAATCCACAAGCAAGTGTGGCCTTCTGCACATGCACCAGACGGATGATGGCGATGAGGCGCCATCCAGAGACCCCGACCCTACCTAGTGTCTCCACTTTTGAATAACAAAGCCCAGATCGGCAAACTGAATAAGTCCCAAAGAACGTATTTTGCTTGGAAACTAAAAGTTTAGCCACAGCTATGACAGTATGAAATGTCACTCTTTTCCCCAAAATGCAATTCTTTTATGCATTAAACCTTTAAACTTAGCATTACATTT